CTTAAGAGTGGTGGTGTCACTAAATATATACATTGTACCAAGATTCCCTTCAACTAGGAGGCTGTATTCCCATTTGGGGATGAAGGCATCTTTCAAATATACATAACAGTAAGCTAAGGGGCTCTATAACTTTTTGAGAAAGTAGGTATTTTCTAATTCACTGCCCTTTATTTAGGGATTCTACTGCCACTTGAGGAGTGCTGTGTTTCAGCTCAGTATCTTCAAACTAGGGTTGTTTTATTACCACTTGAGATGTGATGTTCAAACCATATAAACAGACAACTTCAAGCTCTTTCTATGACAGAAGTGGAATACTTACGTCTTTTGCCCAGAATCTGAGGAGGAGGATTTCTTGTAGAAGGAATGACAAGCAGAGATACATCAAAATGATACTGTTTCATTTCATGTTGGCTCTCCAGTCAAACATCATGAATGAGAATACTGTTCAATATTATCATCTTTCTCAACAATTATAACATTAAAATCCTGATATTACAGAGCGTTGCCATGATGGTGTAAATCGGTGACGCATTATCCCGGACATTCAGCTAGGATGTTGTTCTTGATCGCCCGTAAATCATAATGGCCATTGCATATCCCAGAAAATGAATTCGAATAAAATGTGGGAGTAATGTTATGAAGCCAATATGCAAATCTTCAGTTCTTTAATATAATTGCAGGTCATACTGTATCAGTTGGCCAGACTATGTTTCTATTTCGCCTTGAACTTAATCTGAGCTTTATTTAATTTTATTGACAAAATACCGAGTTGCCCGGCAACAAGTTGTGTTGGCGTTTCTATTGTTCTACATTTTAAAGTTAAGTATTGTAATTCTTCGCCCATGACTTGGCCTGCTACACAATTTGCAATTACTTTTCAGAAACCACCGTGCCAGTGATAATGAACCCCCGAGGGGAGGACGAAATGATCAGTCAGTCAAAGGTGCTCTGTTTTGTAAAGTAGAGTATATCCGTAGGCTTAGTCATCTTTACTGATTTATTTCACTTCTGATAACGTGGATGGTAAATTGAATATCAACATTTACGAGTCTCCGTATCACGGACAAAAGCTTTTTTTTCAGTTTAGTATTCGATCTTTTTTTCTCACTTACGGGTCCCACGTGATGCACGCTACTGAATGCAAGTATAATATACAGCTTGTTTATGCAAAATATGAATGCTCGTTATACGTTCACTGCAACGTTTTAATTTGATTATTTCATAACAAAACCTGGCCCGTATGAAAAGACCGCTGTTGTATGCATGTTCTTTCAGAGAAAAACCCAATGTTGTGTAAACTAATAATTGATAAAAAAAAAAAAAGACTCCCTTTCCCATCATGAATGCACAAAGCTAAATTCAGAGATACGATGACACTTTCTGTAAAGTACACAGTACCGACAGCCAACATACATGTAGGCTACAGATCATTAACTTTTACCGGCAGTTGCATTATGTATATTGTACATGAAAAGTTTGTGAAACGACATACCGTATTTACTCTATTAGAAGCATATGCGCTTACGTAAATTATAGAGGTGTTTTATAGTCAAAGTACGGTAAGTTGTATTTTAATGATTCGCATTACAACAAATATGCTTTTACTAGGGAAACGCTTCTAATAGAGCGGTAATATATATATATATATACAGTAATTTAGATGTAAAACACAGTATGGACTGGTCAAACTATTGTGAGGTGGAAGGCTGAATTGATCACCAATAGTACCAGTAAGCTTTACATTAATTGGCTTTTATTTTTAGCTGAATGGGATTCCAGAAATAAATAAATTAATTAATTGGACATGCACTTATGTAAATACCAGGGGTTTGTGTATGGTGGAAATAGGTTAATTATTCACTGTGTTTTAATGTTGTTTATTTCACTGACTGGAAAATACGCTAAATTAAAACCAAGTGAATATGTACAATTGAGCATAGAACACATTATCTAAATGATAAAACCATGAATTTAAAATTCACTGAATATGCCCGAAATGCTAAATCAGCGAAATTTAAACCAAGTGAAAATTAGTCATTTTACAGTTTATATGCACATCTATTGTAGATGCATTTTTAAAACAAATACAGTATTAAAGTTGGCTGAATTGTTTGTTTAAAAAAAAATCAGAATTGAGGGTTGTATAATATAACATTGAAAATCTACCGAGTGGATATTTTTTAACTTCTTCACCACCAATTCCCTCTTTTCATCACAAATTCACAAAATATTCCTGTTTATAGTCTGCACTTTCCTTCAGAAGATTGGGGCAAAAATAGCCCATTTTTTAAAGTAAAAACTGAAAATTGACTCAAATTTTGTCTGTTGGCTTCAAAATTAGGGTTAATTTCCAGAAATATTGAAGAATATAAAAAAGAAAATTCAGAGAAATTTGGGTGAGAATGTAGAGTGACATAAAGGTTAAATAATAGTAGTATGATAAGAACTCAATATGTCAATTGAGGAATCCAAACAGGCAAGGTGTGAAAACACTAAAAGACTCAAGGGTGCAACTATAGTTTTTATAGTTGAAAAGACGGATTGAATACTGCTCATCTATTGCCATTTCCTGCTTGGTTCATTTGAGGAAAATATAATAGAAAAATAAATTTTATCAAAAATTAAGTGTTCTTACTAACAGTAGGATTACGATGATAGTTCCACAGAAGATACAAAGTACAATCAGACAGTATAGCAGAACTATCCTTACACCGTCTATGATCATACAATCACATCAACATGTAAAAACTGTTTACCGGTATTTGGACAACTACAAGGATTAAATATTAAAAAATAAATTTCAAGAGCCAGAAAGCTCAACCAGAGAAAACAAAGTCTTACTTAGGGATAGACCATTAGAAAATTAGGGGGGCAATGGCAGAATTTTAAAAAAAAAATACGCAGGGAAAAAAATCACCCTTCAGTGAACAAAAAACAAAAAAATTCTGCATGCCCAAATCTTAGGGAAAAAATAATTCACACAATTAAAGAAAATTCATCATGGAAAAAAACAAATGAACTATGAATAAAAACAATATTTTGCACAGTTTTTCTGCAACCAACCCACCCAGAGTTTTTAATGGTTCATCCCTTATTTGTAAATAGCTTACAGCACCTATCTGTATTATTATCAGCTACCAAACTACTCCTGAGTACCGAGTATACATTTGGTGATACTGTTAATTGTTTATGTCACCCATAGCTCAACTACAGAGCAAAGTCACAACTACAATGAATATAGACAAAAAAACAACACTAAGGGACGACGTCAAAAGATCGATGTCGGATAAAAAACTTAATTCCTTTAATTTTTTTCCAAACCCCCCTACCCCCCCACTGAAACTTAAATGATAAATATTGGTCATGGGATCAGACTACATTCACCATTAAATACAAATTGATAATTGGACAGTAGTATAGCATAGCAGTTGGTTGTCGGGTGGGTGTAAAAAGATTTTACAAATGCAACTCATTTGACGCAGATTTACACTTGAACCAAACCATTTTTCTGTTTTTTTCCCCTTTTCGGTTATTTCTGTCCATGATCGGATAGAAAAAAAACAAACTACAAATACTTCAAGATTTTTTTGACTTCATTAAAAAATAAAATCGTTTTTGTAGGATGGTAACTTTTTGAGTTCAAAACCCCCCACCCCCAAATTAAAGGAAATAAGTTTTTTATCCGACATTGATCTTTTGACGTCATCCCTAAAGAAGTATTAATCATGGCTATATAGGACTCATGTTGTAGCTATGTCCCAAAAATTCACAACCTGATTACTATACACAACAAACACATTTCAATATTAGAAATTCATTCAATTCAAATATACAAATATTAAAAACTAAGCTCATTCAGACTGCTATTGCTCCTCCAAAGGTCTCCAGTCATTTTATTGATATTATATGTGACTTTTAGGTTGATTTGCAAATTTTGTTTTTTTGTCCTTGGATAATTATTGGTTTTCTAGATTATTTGCCTAACTGTTTACATTTAGATACAATGACTTTCATAGTTTTTCACCTATACTATAAGTGTTAATTTCCAAGGCTACTCGGACATAAAAGTGTGAGAACGTCACGGTGAGCTTGAAAATCACAAAACAAATTAACACTTGAATTTGTTAACGTGCTTTTAATTTTTCTTGATCATTTTCGCCCTAGTGAGATTTGTTGTCATTGCAATGCATAAAAAAAAATAACTGGGTATTATAGCTGATCAGCTGAAACAAACTGCCAAATTTGAGCAATTGAGGTCTAAATAAAATTAGTGTCTCGTTCCCGTGTTAGCGGTTATCACACAAGTTTAATGGCATCAATATGATTGGTATGATCCGTTGCTCTTCTACTGTCAAGTGTTGACAACGACACCAATATTATTACTGTGACAGTATGGCCGTTCAGTTGCTCGTAATAATAAAACTGGGCACTACTACGGCAGTGAAACAACCGCTTATGTAAGCTAAACACAATCCCCTTTGAACCGTAAACAAAGAAAGGACGTAAACCGAGGCCCTGACATCGCCAAACGACACAGCTAAAGAGCATTCTGCTCACGACAGTGCGTAAAAAGGAACGGTTACCAACCCCAACAAAATCCGACACTTTAATCACATTACGCGACTATTTCTTTTGAAACATTACACGGCCGTGCAGTGTATTACATTCCGAAAAGACTCGACAAAACGTCAACTAAACATGAAAATTGCACAGTCTCGATTCACACCGCGGAACGCAACGACTGGCATCGACATCATTAGAAGGTGACACGCTCAGATAAGGCGGTATGTGCCCACACTAAGGCCACGGGCGTTCAACAACAATAATCGATGCGAGAAAGGGGCGGTTGTTGTTGTTGTTCGGTTTATACAGAGAACACCAAGCACGTGTATTTTTCACAGACATTGTCCCTAGACCAAGGCGCTCTGTACACTTGCATGTGAACGGGACAAGAACAACTAAATCTGAAACTATACATAAACACGACGGTGTTAAATTACCTTTGACATCGTCGGCTGGGAAGTCGCTCCGAAACTCTGCCTGCTCTGGTTTTCCGGCCACGGTGAAATATATCACTTTCGTAGCCATGGCTAATCCCTTCCCCCGTTTACGTCGTCGTCAACACCGTCTACTTTCGAAGTTTATGTCCCGGGTCTGCCACAAAAATCCAAGCTAATACAAGACGTGTGGTGAAAATACGCCTGGACGAGCGATGCGGTAGAGATCAACCATTCGACTTGCCTGCGTATTTTGTATGTGAATGTTTTGAGACAGTTCGTTTCGATATTCAATAAAATCGACTGGACGCCACCATTATTCTTGCAGGGATGTCCGCTCACTCACAGCGTTTGGGTCATGTTCTGAAATGTGATACGTTGAATTAAAACTGGCATCTGTAAGGTTTGGATCACATTCGGAATCGACTAAAATGTTTACGTTGGAATTTAATTGATTTTCTAAACCAATGGCTGTTGACGGACTCATTGCATGATTTCTAGAGACACGCGCGTTTTGGAAGAACGCTTAACGATCGGATATGAAGGGCGCCACTCAGGTTATTTTCAACACTAATACTATTGTTTTCTCAGAAATTTACTGTTGCTCTGCCGTTATATTGATTGATATGGTTAAGCGGCCCTGGCTACTTGTGAGAGGTATATGTACGAAGTGAATTTTTGTAGATGACAATGACAGCGAATCTGTGTAGATCGAGTGGCGCGTTCCTAAACAAGTATAACCCTGTCTGAAGGAAAGAGCCGTTCTTTCAAATATGAACTTTATCAGCGCATGACAGAATTTTTTTTTCAGACAGCACTACAACGGCCAATCCGACTATTTACATATAGACGCTTTAATAAGAGGCGGTTTACACTAGCAACCGTAATCAAGGCCGAACAGATTTTAATAAAAATATACAACGGTACAATCCACCGTGACGTTGTATCCTTGCAAAGTCATGTGACATCGAACCTTCAGGTGTCACACCGCGAGGCGAACTCACACAGTTCGATACGCGTTACTTATCATCACTGCACAAAGCAGATTTGCATAAAACTCATTTGCATATTCGAATATGTTCGAACTACAAGACCTTGGCCGTTAACAAAGTTATGCGAAAGT